GTGTGTGAGCCTGAGTGAGTTTTTGTATACCATGTGTGTGCAAGAGCCTGCAGAGGCAAGAAGAAAGCATAAGATTCCCTGAAACTGGATCAACAGGCAATCGTGAGCCTCCACGTGGACAATGGGAACGGAACTAAGGTCTTCTGAAAAAGCAGTGCCTACTTTCAACCCCTGAGCCATCTTCTCAGGCCCCCTGACAGCGACCTTTGAGTTGGAAGAATTAGCGAGTGGAAAAGACAATTGTTCTAGGGAAACTCAAAGCCTAACGTTTGGACCAAATGAAGGCTGTAGTGAGCAGACTTCTGGTTACTATGGAGGCACTTCCTAAGAATGAGACATATCCTAAGAAGTGGGTGACCTTGAGAAGTGGCGAGGCTCCAGTGAACGGGTACTGGCTGGAGAGGTTTGCAAAGAGAGTTGGTTGGGCATTTGATCACTTAGATTGGTCACCCTCAAGGACTCCAAAGGCCTGGATGGGATGAGAGACAAATCACTCTCTAACTTTATCAGATGGCATTCTGCTAAGTGCTAACGGTGAATGAATCCCAGGTTGTTAGCATCACAGAAACAACCACATCTGGGCTGAAGGGCTGATTTAGTCGTAAGAAAGTGGATAAAAAATGACCTTAAACTCCAGGCTTTACCTTTTGTGAGGTATTGAAAGAGAGGGATTTAAAGGCTTCAAACACAAAGACATATTAAACATATAAGGAAGTGGAAATACTAATGCCTTGATTCAATCATTACAGAAAATAAAAGCAATGGCCGTGTGCATGCGGAGACAGTGCAGAGCAGTGGTCTAGGGTTCCAGATCTACAGCAGGTGGGCTCAAATGTCATGTCACTCCCATATGTATGACCTTGGCAAGTACAGTGGCCTCATCAGGCCTGTTTCCTCACCTGTAAACTGCTGTGCTAACAATGAAACCATCCCAGTTTTAACCCTGTGACTGTGTAGCCACGAGAGTAGAGGACAAAGCTAGAACGTGACAAGTAACGGATATTTGTTATCATTATTTCAAAGAACGTCTATGAAGTTTAGGACACTCAAATTCTATACAAGGAAAATAATTTGTGATTTTATTAATTGTCACACATTGCTACATTGTTGCAAAAAAGAGAAAAGTGGGCACACTGTCAGTGTACAACACAACCGTGGGTGAATCAAGAAACTATTACAGCAAGATGGACTTGAACTCTGACTTCTGAGAAGGTCTTGCAGGGTTCGGCTGCTTGACTTAATCAACAAGCATTTCATTGAGCATTGGTGATTATGCTATGCATGATGCTAAATAAAGAGGAATGTAAGCAGCATGTGATATGGTCCTGAGCTTCAGTAGCTTATAATCTGCCTATGTGTGGTTATAAAGATGCACTTACAAACTCTAAGACCTTGAAGCAAAAATCCTCGTTGAAAGCAAAGCACTGAGATTTTAATAATCCTGCCGTCACTCACAAAACTTTTGACATGTCTTCTACTGAGACGTGTTTGTAACTACAATAGAAATCACTTGAGAAAAACATGCCAGAGCCCTGCTCCCTCTTCCTCAAGCATCTAGCTTAGACATCTGAATTATTCACTAAAATAGCTTCTTGCTGGCTTCTGATTATTTAAGAATGTCAGATCCACCCTGAGAGCCAACTCTGGTCATGCCTGATGACCTTCGCATGGGTGCACTGTGGCTTTACTAGTCAGAGAGTACTTGGGGAGGGAGGACAGGTCCCGGTGCCTCCACATCCCCACATCATCTGGTGAGCATGCTCAGGAGGGACGTGTTGCTTGGACTGAAGGGACAGTAGCTCACCGATGCTCAGCAGCTGGAAGAACAGGGCAGGCTGAGGACAGCAGCAGGAAGTCAGGGCTTGAGGCCATTTCTTTCTGTTCCGTCATTTCAGAGTTTTCTTTCCTTGCTTCTTACGCATCTGGCTTTGACAGCGAAGGACAGAAAGGTCTGCCTGAAGCTGGCAGCAGATTCTCCCAGTATTCCCGTCTAGCCCTGGGTTTGGAAGATATGCACCGTTAAGGAAAAGAACCATACTCACTTTATAAATTCTGTATGTCGTGTGTGTGTGTGTGTGTGTGTGTGTGTGTGTGTGTGTGTGTGTGTGTGTGTGTTAGAGAGGGAGAGGAAGAGGGGGAGGGAGAGAGAGAGAGAGAGAAAGAGAGAGGGAGAGAGAGAGGAAGGGAGAGAGAGAGATCAGACTAAAGCAGAACTTTTGTTTCAACACACAATCAGAAGAATTCTCTATATTCACACCAGGGGCTTTCTCACAATTTTTAAGTGTAGTATATATGTGTACATGTGTGTGGTGATGTTTTATTTGTGCTGAAATGTGGTGATATTTTATTTGTGGGTTAATAAGTAAAGCTTGCCTGGAGATCAGGGGGGAAAGGCCAACCATTTTAAGCAAACAAAGAAGTCAGGCAGCACACGCCCTTAATCCCTTAGCAGGCAGGGTCTCTTTGTGTTCAAGACCACACTAGAGAACAGAGCCACACTGGTGACACATGCCTTTAATCCCAGTACCAACCATAGAGACCTGAAGGTCTGTACAGACAGACAGACAGTGACAGAGCTGTGTAGGAAGAGGAAGTGAGGTAGCTGGGCTAAGAGCCAATGAGAGGGCAGAAAAGCCTGGGTAGACAGGAAGTCGCTCTCCTTGGAAGCTGTGAGTTGGTGAGGTGAGGTTAGCTGGTAGCTTTACATATTACCCTGATCTCTCTAAAGCTTTAGGCCAAATTTCTGGCTCTGTGTTTTTTATTTAATAAAACCATTTAGAAATTCATCTACACATGTGTGTATTCATGCTCATGTGCATATGTGTGTGTGTACACACAGAGGTCAGCTGTCTCCCTCAGTTGCCCTGTGCCTTATCTTTGGAGACGAGTCTCTGGTTAAATGAGAAGCTCAGGAGTTTGACTAATTTAGCTGGCTATGAGCTTCAGGGATCCACCTTTCTCCCCAGCACCCAGACTGCAGATGTGCGCTGCTGTGCTGGGCTTTACATTTGGGTTCTGGGGATGCGAACTCAGGCCCTCACTACTTTCATGGCTCAGTTACCGACTGAACCATCTCCCCAGGCCGGTTTCCACACTAATCCTCTTACTCATCACTAGGCTTCAAGGCCTCCTTCCAGAACAACATATTTCAGTTGTAGGACTTTTTGCTACTACTAATTCCATTCCATCCTGAAACATCCCGCAGAGCCCTCCTAACTCCACTCAGTATTTCAGTGAACTGAGAAGTTTATGGAAATAGTTTTAAATGTAACAAGGTAAAGAAGAATTCTTCAACAAAGTAACCAAGAACAGAGTACAAATGACCTTGTCAGGCTTCCTTCCTTGTTTTTGTGACAAAAGAAAAAAGAGTATAGGATTCCTGGTCACAGACTTGGGTGTTAAATACATTCTTACAGCTTCCCTCACTTGACTTAGGAAACATGAAAGCAGTTAATACTTTTATATGATACAATGTCAGAACACTTGGTTTATAATGACCCTGTGAATCACAACTTTCTGTGAACATTAGCAGGTTTGGAAGTTCAGGGTGCAAAGGGTACTTTAGTCTTTAGATTGATGTTTTAATCTTGTTGGCTCACTACTTTTAAGGATGCACAGGTGACGGCAGCTAAAATAAACTATTCTCACTTCTTTAAACTCGTAATCATCACCACACTGTCCTTCCTTTGTCTTTGATTACATTTGGTCCATTTTTATGAATTACACCCGTGGAAACCAGCTTCTCTGACAGACACCCATAGAAAGGTCTGGCAATGATTCCCTGCCTTCAGATCTCACCAAGATGGACAAAGAAGATGTATTCACTACATAACATCAGTGAGTAAACGGGACACCAGGAGAAGGTGACTCAAGTCATGACCAGCTTCTAGGAAATGGAAAGGACATGGCCTGGCACTGATATGGCAAGAAAGAATAGACAGACACGTAGGAAAACAGAGCAAGGTTCATGGGGCTCTGAGTGAAACGTCTTTAACAATAAAGCGATGGGAACATATAATATAATTTAGAATCAGGAAGAACTCAGAGAAGATGGAGGCCTGTGATTTTTTCCTCCCACAATGAAAGAGGAAGTTAATTAGAAATTAACTAGAAAGCCAGCTGATACACAAAGAATGCAAGTCCAGTCATAAAGCCAACTTACATCTGGTGAGAATTTGGAAGATTGATGAAATGTAAGAGGGGAGAATCCACCGGACCCTGATGCTTGGAGCATTCCCCTTCAAGTGGTTCAAGGTTTGCCAAGTGGGACCATTGCTTTTCCCTGTGGTTCCAGCAGAGCGCTGTGTTCTGAGGAGACTGTTGCACAGTGGGACATTGAAATGGAAGTGTGAAGGCACCAAGAGATGAGACATGACAGGTGTCAAAGGGGACCCATCCCATGGTCACTCCCCGGAAGTCTCAAAGGATGGCCCAGAGCCTGTCACACCCACAAGACACCACACCGGAAACTCAGAGTCACCAGAGAACAAAGGGTCAACATCTGCTCAGGAGCAGAGGGTCAGGCCACACTCCGAGTCTGTGCATGAGAGCGAGAGCATGGGCCTGGCCCCGAGAACCACCCAAAGGACAATGGGACCCCAAACAGGGCATCTTGGGGTGACCTGCTGGGAAAGCAAGAAGCTGAGGGGAAGTAGCGGTCCAAGAGAACGCCAGAGGTATGGGAGCAGACCAGAGTTTGCAGGGAAGACTGAAGAACCTGTCCCATGCTTGTGGAGATCTGCCAGGCTCAAGAGGGCTGCCTCCAATAGGGTGACAATCCAGTCATGAGAAGATTGCCTTTACATCCTCGGTCTGTCTGTTTTCTTTTTACTCCATGTATGATACGAAGATGAGTGCTCTGTTTTTATGTACACCAGAAGAGGGCATCGGATTCCATTGTAGATGGTTGCAAACCACCATGTGGGTGCTGGGAATTGAACTCAGGACCTCTGAAAGAGCAGCCAGTGCCCTTAACCTCTGAGCCATCTCTCTGCCTGCTCCTTCCTTTAGGAGGCTTTGCCAGACAAAAGAAGTTTTACATTTGAAATGTGTTCTGAGTCTTGATTCTGTGGGGAGCTGAACTCTTAATTATTAAGTTGAGACCGTGTCTCAATTTAAAGTGATTATGAGACTTCCTGTTCCCTAAGAACGCAATCTTGGGACACGTCAGTGTGTTCACTTTGTACCTACAAAGACAGGAATTTACTCATCAAGCAGGTTTAAGGGATAGGACAGAAAACATCTCATGACATGTCATGAGTCTGCTTGAACGACAACTGTAACAATATTGTAAATGCCAGTCTCCGGCTTTATATTCTAAAAGCAACCTGTAGATGAAGCCCGGAAGACTTAATTATGATCACAGAATAGGACATAGTGGTTAAAAATGTTAATAGTAGAACTTGAGGCAGCCGAAGGACGGGGCCAGGAAAATCGCTCAGTCAGAAAAGTGTGTGCCAGGCAAGCATGAGGACCCGAGTTCAAGTCTTAACACCCCCACAAAAAGCCAGGTCTAGTGGTGTGCATTTGCAATCTTGGTGCTGGGAGGCAGAGACGGGTGGGGCCCACGAGCCACGAGCCAGCCAGCCTAATCTAATTGGGAAACTCCAGGCACTAGTGAGAAAGACTATGTCAGAAAACCAAGGTGGATAGCACCTGAGGTTGTTCAGAATACTTCTTACACACACACACACACACACACACACACACACACACACACACACGGTGCAAGGAGATAGACCAAAAAGTAGAAGAGAGAAGAAGAGTAGAGAGAAACAGCAGAGAATCTATTCTTACTTTATAGAATGTACTTCATACTGATGGATTAAGACATAGGCAGCTACATAGTAGCTACATAGTAGGGTGAATACAGAGAACACTACTTTACTCTCTCTCTCTCTCTCTATATATATATATACATATATATATATATGTGTGTGTGTGTGTGTGTATATGTGTATATATATATATCCAAGGAGCTAGAAGAAAGGGGTTTGAATATTTTTACCACAAAGAAATGGTAAAATTTCTACTGGAGGAGATAGGCATGTTTTTGTTTTAACCTCACTTGGACATTATCCATTGTGTACATGTGAGGAAACATCATGTGGCATCCATAAATATGTGTAATTTTTTATATCCATTAAAAATGTATTTTGAAACCTAATCCATATAACCACAAGAGTTGGGTATTTGGGGGGGCTACAATTGAGTCACAAGGGTGGAGCCCTAGTTAATTCGATTAGTGGCCTTATCAAAGACGCCCCAGAGAGCTTGCCTTGACCCTTGTATTATGAGAGTCCTGTTGTGGGATATTTGTATACTGTATGAAAATATATTGCTGTGATTGGTTTAATAAAGAGCTGAATGGCCTATAGCTAGGTAAGAGGTATAGGTGAGACTTCCGGGCAGAGAGAGGAAGTAGAAGATAAATCTAGGCAGGCAGGGACTGTGTGGGTTCCTTCGCCTTGTACCCTCATCGTGTTTACAGCAACACACAGAAGAGGATGGGGAGGAATTAGGAGCGCAATTAAACCCACCTTGCTCTGATCCAGGGTTTGGTGTGCATGTCCAAACCACTGCCCCAGCTGCCATGTTTCTCTGAAGCCGGAGGCAGGAACCCCCTTTCCGGGGCCAGCTCCTCAGCAATCGCCCTGATGTGGTAGGGCTCGAATCCGCAGCAGCCGCCAATGTACCTGACCCCCAGGTTGTAGGCCTCTCTGGCGTATTTTTGAATATCCCATCGGGTCGCAACTCTGGGCTCCAAGCCTGTAATACAATGGTTTCTGTTATCATTCTGCTGTGGTTTGAATTCGAAATGTGCCCCACAGGCTCATACGTTTTCTGAATACTTGGTCCCCAGCTGTGGACTATTTGGAAATGTGCACGGCTTTCACCGGAGGCGGGCCTTGAGGTTTGATTGGCACCTTGGCGTCCTGTCTTCATTCAGTTTCCTGACTGTGGAGTTCACTTGACCATCTACCGCATGCTCCTGCGGCCATGCCTCCCCACTGCGATGGACTGCCTGCCCTTGACTCTGAGCTTCCCCAAAGTTCCTTCTCATCAGGTATTTGGTGAACACAACCAGAAAAGTGACCAATGCAGCTCATTTTCAAATGACAGATTCTCGGCTGACTGGCCTTCTCCTCCACCCCACCCGCACCCCAGTTTAACAAAACCAATATAGTGCTGGAAAGATTATGCATCCTTTAGGTGGCGGCTTCTGTTTGGTTAGCACTGAAGGTTTTTTTTTTTCTTATATGGCCTTATATTATAAAACTGTATCAATTTAGTCACAGTAAGAAACCTAAGGGCCAGGTGGTGGTGATACACGACTTTAATCCCAGCATTCGTGAGGCAGAGGCAGGCATTTCTCTATGAGTTCAAGGCCAGCCTGGTCTACAGAGCGAGTTCCAGGACAGCTAAGGCTACACAGAGAAACCCTGTCTTTTAGAAAACCAAGCCAAACCATAAGGAACTTTACATGCACCCAAGCTTACCAAAAGGATATTCCGGGAGGTCTACAAACCCTCCCTTGCCACAGTCAGGTGTGTGGAAGCCCAGACATTGCATCATCAGGTGAGCTTGCAACCCCGAATCCCCGAGGCCCTTCTTCATGAGCTTCATGGTCTGCAGGCTGGTCCAGGGCCCGAATCGGCAGTTGACCCCAATGATGTTTGCCCCTGTGCAAGGCAATGAAGAACCATTGCAACTTACGGTGGATTCATTTGTCTCTTCGTTCTGTTCATGACGGTTAGAAGCTGAGCTGGGGTGCATGACTGTCATTACAGCATCTGAGAGAGCAGGCGGGTCACAAATTCAACACTGGCATAGGCCACATTGATTAGAAACGGTTCAACCTCATTCCAAATCAACCAACCAACCAACTAACCAACCAATCAACCAACCAACTGTCCAACCTATCAACCTTAGAAGCGAGTTTAGAGATTAGCTACCCTAGGATTGTAGACAAGACCATTTCCTTCTTGTTCTTTTATTTCTCTGACAACACTGAGCAAATGCATTTCACAAGCAGCCTGTGCATCGCCCGCCCATCTCATCGCGGCCCACTTTACCTGCCCGCGCCAGCTTGACTGCACATTCTCCAGGGGTCACGTCATGCATGTCCCCCTCCGGCCCGATGCACATGGTCGCAGCCACAGGTTTGCCCACTTCCCTCAAGACTTCCACAGCCCACACAGCTTCTTCCACGTGCTCAAAATACTAGGAGACAGCACTTTTTTAAATTGGCCTCAAGTGAAAGTAGACTTTTGAATGGTAAAGCCCAAGTGCTGGGAAACTGTTATAAAAATGAAGAAATCTATAATATGTGATACAGCTTGCTGAGGAATGTGTCTGACAGATTATGTAAAGAACAGCTTTCTGAGTAAACATTGGAGTTCCGTCCATGAGAATATCTGGAGTTTTATATGGGGATCAGTATATGGTGACATTGTGACTGTTAGTAAAACAAAAATCAAACCATTTAAAGGTTGTTTAAATATGTATATATGTTGAAACAGGCAATGGTGGCACATGCCTTTAATCCCAGCATTCGGGAAGCAGAGGCAGGAGGATCTCTGTGAGTTCAAGACCAGCCTGGTCTACAGAGCAAGTACCAGGACAGCCAGTGCTACACAGAGAAACCCTGTCTCTAAAAACAAAACAACAACAAAAACAAAACAAAAAGCCAAAAAAAATAGTTATATATTTAAAATAAAAATCTTGAAGGAACACACATTTTTGTCACCGGAAGTCCAATGTGCTATTCTTGTACCACAGAGCCACCTAGGAATAAAAATTTTACTTATTGATTTAAGGATCATCTTTTTTGGAACTGGGGTTAACTCTGAAAAATAATATTTTATCGTGCATTATTCTTCACAGTGATTCTGTATCATTTCTGGCTAAGTATCCCAGGCACTCCATGAAGCTGGAAGGGGAAAGTAGGAAAGTGTTCCCAGAAGGTTAGACTGAGGCACAGACAAGAGATGGAGCTACTGGGTGTCCTTGCTGATGGTGGCCAGGGTGTCCTTGCAGGGGTGCTTCCCGGAATTCCCCTTCCGTGCCATCATTAAAATGGTGACCTAAGTGGACAGGAGCCAGAAGAAATCTCCCTGTTTCTTGTTTCCTCGCTCTTTTTTTTTTTAAATATTTAAGACAGGGTTTTTCTATGTAGCCTTGGCTGTCCTGAAACTCGCTCTGTAGACCAGGCTGGCCTCAAACTCGGAGACCTGCCTGCCTCTGCCTCCTGAGTGCTGGGAATAAAGGTGTGTGCCACCAGGCATGGTTTCTTTCTTCACTATTGAAAGAAATTCTACACAAGCCCATTGAGGAATGAAAAGATAATCAAGGGAAGCTCTGAAAACATGGCGCATGTTCCTGCCCAGGTGGACAGTATTCCTGGAATCGGCACTGAGGAGCAGACAGCCCTGGGCCTTGAACTGGTCTGAACTAGCAGACCTAGTGATGAGGAGAAGACCTGGGTTGAGGGTTTGATCCCAGGCAGGAACAATGGGGGAGAAAAGGGAGAGAGTGTCCCTCATGTCCAGCCCACGACCAATTGTTTGGCTTAGATATGAAATGTCCCTCAATAGGTTCATGTGGCGAAGGCTTAGAACTTAGCTGCTGGGCATTGAGCAGGCTTGGACCATGAGGACTCTGACTTCATCAGTCCACTTAGATGTGGATGGATTCATAGCATCTTTGGGAAATAGGACGAGGTGGGGTCTGGTGAGAGGAAGTGGGTCCTGGAGGTGTCCCTTTGAAGGCCACCTTGTCTCTGGCTCCTTCCTGCTGCCCCCTCCTTTTCCTGGCTGCCATGTCCCACTCTGCCATGCCCTCCCTCCACCATGACTCCTGACCTAGAACAGAGCCAGGTGACCAGAGCCAGCCGGCCGAGGACCTCCAAAACCGTGAGCCCAAGTGGTTTCTTCTTAAGTTGATCTTCTCAGGTATTGTGTCCCAGCGACAACAATAACAAAAACCTGACTTAATAGATCAATCCTTTCTTTAAATGCCGCGTTCACGTGATGAGCTGAGGAATGGCAGAGAGGCAGTGGGAGAAAGGCCAGGATGGAGAAGACAGTTACCCAGTGCCAAGTCTTGCTAGTGAGATCCCGGTGAACCTGGGCAGCCATCTGCTAGGCTGCTAGGCTTTGCCCTCTCACTGCCTCCAATCTCCCCAGCCCCCAGCACTTTCCAGCCTGGCCTCTCCTTTGGGAGGGGATTCGCGTCCTAAGCCACTGTCCTCTTTTTCTCTTCTCACTGTCCCCCAAGTCAGCTACTACAATCACATAAACCCCAGGAAGCAAAACCCATACTGAGGCATGCGGTGGGTCCATCCCTCGCCTCACAGAGAACCCCGCCTGAAGATGGCGGAGCCTTGCCTGGAATGCAGTGCATCAACCTCCACCTCTGAACGTCCACAGGGAAGAAATGAGGACACAGAGCACCCCTGTCCGGTTCCTCTCAGACCAGCCTTACCTCTGCGATCAAGAAGTCCACATTTTTCCTGACAAAAACTTCTAGCTGTAGTCGAAAAAGGTTTTTAATCCTGGTTTCATCCTTGTGGTATTTGTACAGTGATGTCTGGCAGAGGCAGCCAGCCACCAAAGCATCCTCTCTGTCAGCCACTTCCCTGGCGAGGTCGCAGGCAGCTGCATTTACGTCTTCCCACTGAGAGCAAGAGCAGAAACATGGGCCTGGTGTTTTAAACGCCAAATAAAGCGAGTCACGGACAGATGGACGGACGGAGCAAGGAGCACGTCAGCCCTGCAAATGGCCATTCAAGAAGAGTTGGGCATAATCTCCTCTGCTACGGGTGACTCATGTGTGAGCCAGGGGAGGAGGGTGCATGTACATGTCATGTTATCTTTTGACACAGGGTCTTTCTTTCACTGAGTCTGATTCTCACGGATTTAGCCAGAGTGTCTGGCTCCAGGAAACCTGCCTGCCTCTGCCCCCCCCCCGTCCACCCCCAAACCTGGTGATGGGTTACAGCTATGCATCAGTGTACCTGGCTTTTACACAGGTTCTGGGAATCCAAACTTAGGTTGTGTGCTTATACAGCAAGTACTTTATTAACGGAGCCTTCTCCCCAGCTCTACCAGTGACTTTATACTTCCATCATCGCTACTACCCACACTGAATTTTTAAAACATAAATTTAGATTAATTGTGAAGTATAGTGGTGCATTCCTTGACGATGATGATGATGATGATGATGATGATGATGATGAGTATATGTATTTTACCTGCATGTATGTCTGTATACCATGTATGTCTCTGATGCCCTTGGAGGCCAGAAGAGAGCATCAGATCCCCAGGGGTTAAAGCTCCAGACAGTTGTGAGTTGCCATGTGGGTACTGGGAATTGAACCCAGGTCCTCTGGAAGAGCAAGTGCTCTTACCTGCTGAGCCATTTTTCAGTTCTACCGCATTGGATTTTAATAACTTTATTTGTTCCCCCCTCATAAAGATCATTAGCTTCTTCAGAAGAGGATCTAAGCCTCTTGCAATAGTTTGAATGTAATTGGCTCCCATAAGCTCATAGGCAGTGGCACTATTGGGAGGTGTGGCCTTGTTGGAGGAAGTGTGTCACTGTGGGGGCGGGCTTTGAGGTCTTTTTTTACTTAAGCTTTGCTCAGTGAGACAGTTGGCTTCCTGTTGCCTTCTGATCAAGATGTAGCCAGCATCATGTCTACCTGCACGCTGCCATGATCTCCACCATGATGATAACGGACTGAACCTCTGAAACTGTAAGCCACCACCTCAGTTAAATATTTCCTTTATAAGAGTTGCTGGGGTCATGGTGTCTCTTCGCAGCAATGAAAACCCTAACTAAGATATTCTGTTTCATACACGTGTGTGTGGAGTGGCAAGTTCACGACTGGCAGCAAAGTGCAGACACACAGGAGCCCAGTTCCACCCCCTCCCACGGGAAGCCTCCGACCTTGGCAGCTGCTCCCTACCTGCACCCCAGTTACCTTGCTTTCCATCTTGTCCTCAGAGGCAGAAAAGGTGAACGTCTGCAAGACATCGGCTCCTGCTCTCAAGAATTCTGTGTGGAGCTGACGAACTGGCCAGCAATTGAAATTGCAATGACAAAATCAAGCTCCAGATGCTTACATTCTCAGTAGCAGCCCCCCCCTCCACTTCCTTCCCTCCCCACCATGCCCAGTTTCAAACCCAGAACTGATAAAGCTACAGATTAAAGTCAGTCGTGTGGCAGGGCACCATGCACCATGGATCACCGCACAGGGGCCTGCTGACTGGCCTCAAGAGGGTTGCACGCAGAGAATAAAGTCTGGCTAGCTCTGTGGCCCCCTCATCCCTTGTCTGGAGTTTATTCACACAGCAATGTGTGAAGGATGCCACTGGCCTTTTATCACCAGCGTGGGAAGGGTAAAGCAGCTCACACACAGGGCTGCAGGCCTGTGTATGATACCCACAGCAGGCTGATTCAGCAAAGTGTGAAGGAGCCATGTGATAAGCAGCCCCGGCTGCCCCAGCCTCTCAGAAAGTCACCTCCCCTGGGCTGGGAATGTAGCTCACTCTGCAGAATGCTTCCTTAGTAAGAATAAAGTCCTGGGTTTGATCTCCAGCATCCTGTAAGGCAGGTGTGATAGCTCATGACTTAGCACTCAGGTGGAGGCAGGGGGATCAGACCTTTGAGGTGATCCTCAGCTACATAGCTAGCTTGAGGCCAGCCTAGGATGTCTGAGACCCCGCCTAAAAAAACAAAAAGGAAAGAAAAGAAACTCCCCTCCCCCTCCACTACTTCTCTTCCCCACCATCACCCCCCCCCCCAATTTAATACATTCAGTTTAGCTGAAAGATCTTCCAAAAGTAAGAAAAAAAAATTGAAAAATTCCCAAGAGGCACCAGAGAAGCAAAGCTATTCTGTCCTCCACAGAAAGCAGGTGTATGGGCAACCTGGGGAAATAACACTAGCGGCCTCAGGGCTCTAAGGATGCCTGGGCAGCTCATGGGGGTAAACTGTCCTCACAGCTGGCCCTCGTCCTGCCCCATGTGACAGACAAAGAAGCAGATTCTCAAAGAGGTCAAGGGACTTGTCTAAGGTCACACAGCTGGTCTGGGGAAGAACCACGCAAGGACCCCAACTTTGTCTCGTGCATTATATACGCCTGAATGAAATCAGGTAGATTCAAGCCACACTTTCAGCTTGTGGCCTGATCTCCCTTCTTATTCTTTGGCCTTAACTGCCTCCCTGACACACACACACACACACACACACACACACACACACACACACACACACACACTCTAGGAAAGCAAGGGAAATCAATAAAGCCAGATATAGTTAAAGCACCATTGTGACGTCACCAACCAATTGCAATGGTTTCTACTTCCAACTCTTTTATTTATATTCCCCCCACCCCAAGTCAGGAAGATGAAGGGGTGTTCTTCCTTTCTCTGCACTCTGGTCCCCACAGTCTGGCTGTCTGCTCCATTAAGCTGGTGATGGCCATCAGCCATTATCACCATGGCCATGAGTGTTATCTACCGTGCACAGCCTTCAGCAGGATGAATCTAAAGCAATTAACGATTTTTGCTAACTTAAGAAAACTCTTGAATAGCTACAAGGAAAATTCCCAAGGAATGAACTGTGAAAAATATATATTAACAATGCTTGTTCAAGAAAATATGAGTGCAGAGAGGGAGAGAGGAAGGGAGGGATGGAGGGAGAAAGAGACAGAGAGACAGAGACAGAAAGGAGGAGGAAAGAGGGAGACAGAAAGACGATTATCTCTGTGCTTCAGTCCACACACTGCCGTGCCCTCCACCTCTTGGTAATTTTGCAAGGGAAACAGTCCTTAGGACATGCTTGCTGTTATTCCTTGATTTTCTCTCGCCGGTGCTGAAGCTAACTGTCACCTGCATACAGACTTCGGGGTGACGCGGACACTCACCTGCACTTGGATGCTCCACCACTGCTTCTGGAGTCCACAGTCCTGCCTTCACGAACCCTCTCTTCTCCAGAGAGAAGAGAAAGCCGCCGTCCCCAACCACAAGCTCCCCGCTGTCCAGACGGTCCAAAATGCCCTGGGGAAGAGACCAGAGACTCTAGACTCTCTGCACTCCCGCTTTGCCTTTTAAAGCCATTTCCAATTTTAGGAATGTTGGTCTTGTGTTCTTCAGGCAACAATTCTGATAAAATTATGTCTAAGAGTGTTTCAGAAGACATTGCAGCATGATTCCTGGACAATCTAAATAACTATTTTGTGCAGTTAAGGAGCTATGGATAGATAGGTACTTTTTTTTTTTTTTTTCTCAATTGACACTTTCTGGGTCTAACTATACATGGTGCTGGAACTGAGTTCAGGTCCTCTGGAAGAGCAGCAAGGGCCCTTGACTTCTGAACCACCTCCCGAGTCCCTGCCCAACATTTTAAATTCTCTATTTTTCTTCATCGTCATTATAAAATGACTAGTTTATGGAAATTTGAACCCGGAGCAGCCAATAGCTCATCCCTCCTTGTTGTCTCCGCCACCTCGCTTAATTCTAGTGCCAGATTAGGTGAAAAGGATGGGGAGAGTCAACCGTAGAGGATGTGAATTCAGCAGTCCTGTTTCTCATTCACATTCCATTATTGGCAGTGCACCTGCTGATCTGATGGTGAGGACCTGGGGTTCCTTTACATCCCCCTTTTGAAGACATCAACCCTGAAACCTCTGATTTACCCTCGGGGCTCAGGATGAGACGGTTGGTCCTCAGAGGAGGCCATTTGCCCCATGGCTAGTGGGACACAGCTGTTAATGGCTGACTAACAACTTAGCAACTGACTGAACCTGGACTGTGAACCTCGCACAGGTCACCTCTCTGTTCCCAGTTTCTTAGCATTTCCTATGTCTGCTGCCCCCAAGACTCTGAATTGCGTCTAGGTGGGCTGTTGGGGGTGGGTGGGTCCTGGGAGGCCCCTCCTCCAAGTTCATGCCTTTCTGGTTGGTTGGGATCCCTGGCTTCCACAAGTCCTCAGTGCTGTGGGAATGAAGCCGGTATGTGGTCGCCATGGGAGAAAGGCAGGCTATGGGACTGCCTTCTGAAGGCAACAGAGGGGACTCCCACACCCACCCCTGTGACCTGCAAGGTGTCCTTGCTTCACACAGCACTGGTTGATGCGCTTACAAAACATAAGAGAAACTGATAGGAACACCCGTGTGTGAACCCAGGAGCTATTGCGTGCGCTCCCTTGAGCAAGAACAATGAGAGTCCCCTGAGTCCAAAAACTTGACCTCAGGTTCCTCCTCTGCCCTGAGCGCGATCACGGACTCTGGGCACAGTCGCCTGACTTTGGGGCCTCAGTCCCTCCCCCCGCGCCACCGCCCATACTGGGGATACCAGTACATGCAGATACTCTGGGCTGGGTAAGGGCTCCGTGAATGCTAATCCACTCGCGATCCGGTAAACTGAGGCTCTGGGCCGCCCAGCCCGGTGCCGTAGGGGTTTGGCTGAAGGCGGGACTCGAACTCCCCAGGAAAGGAAGAAGGGCTGGGCAACACTCACCTTCTTGGCCCGCGGGCCTCCAGCTGGTGCCATGTCTCCGCGACTGTGCAGGCGCGGGTCCGGTGGCACCGGTCCCGGAGGCGCCGTGGTGCCCGAGCCCGCCCCTGGATGGGAGGACCTCTCCCGCCCTCTCCGTCCTCCCCCTCTCCTTCCGCCCTCCCGCCTTAGGCCGCCGTCGGTGCTCGGTGCTCGGTGCTCGGTGCTCATCCGTCCGTGCTCGCCTCCCCTCCACCATGCTCCGCCCGGGCGCGCTGCGGCTGCGGGGTCTCCTGCTGCGGGGCTCCCCCGGGCGCCCAAGCTCCACCGGCCGCCGGGAAGGGTGAGTGCCCGCCACCTGCAGGTGGGGAAGAGGGGCATCCCAGGAACGGGCTGGGGTCCTCCTGGGATTCCTTACAACTACCAGGGAAAACTGTCAGTCTCTCTGGCCCCAACCCCTGTCCGGTCAGCAGTGGGCAGTTGTGAGGATGTCTGCAAGAGCCTGTCTCCTGTGCGCAAACAGCTGGATGCTGTTGTCTGCGATTCACTCGCACCCGATGGTGGTTGTTATCATCACTGTTTTGTTTTCAATGATTAATACGCCGCCGAGCTTATTCTATTCCAGGGCGAATTGATTTGCCTTATTCTTTTTAATGGCTGCATAGTTTTTCATTTGATCAATATTCTATAATATAATTAAGCAGCCTACTCATAAACAATTAGACTGCTTCGGGTTGACTGGTAGTGCAGAGAACGTGAACCTGACATTTTAAATGCACGTGTGTTTTGGCAAATATGACAGTCTGCTTTGTTTTGTTTCTTAATTTTTTTTTTTTTTTTTTTATTCAGGGAAAGGGTTAGGTCATTTGAAAGATCAAAAAACAGCATCAAACTTGCCCAAAGACAGCGAGATTCCGATAAGAACTGGATGCTCCTCGGGTGGGTGCTTGTTTCCCATGTCTTCCTTGGCTCCCAGAGTAGGGTTGTGAAACTGCAGAAGTGAGATGGCATTTTCCTGTAGTATCTGTCTGTATGTACAAGAGCGGGACAGCATCTTTGACTCTCCCGTCCTGACGTCATTGCTGACGTCACCCACGGTGGCAAGGGGAGGTTTCTACTCACAGAGTCGCTCAACAAACATTATTAGGAACTGACTCCGCTTGCATTTTACATCCTATGGTGTGCAAGGGCTGCTTTTGAGTCGCATCTAGCCAGCCTTTATTGGCAGATTTTTTACATGGCGCCTGTGGTGTGCAGGCTGGTTCCTGGTTCTGGGAATGCAAGGCCCACAGAACGGGAGTTCTGGAAGACACTGCAGCTGCTGGCTGAGCACAGTTTCCTCATCAGCAAAGATAGGATGCTAATCCTGCTCTGCCTGGCTTACAGGGGTGCTGCAAACCCCAAGTGAAGGAACGCACAAGAGAGATTTGTGTGCTGCGAAGGCATCACAATTGGGAAACTGCGCCGAACACCGAAGGAGATAGAAAGTTGTTGACCTTGGGTTAAGTTGTTCAAAACTGATTAGACAAATACAGTCTAACATTAAAGGCTTTTTAAAAATGTGTGTGGAGTGTTTATATTCATATGGCATATGCATCTGTCCTGAAAGGTTGAGTCATCACAGATGACATTTCTCTTCTAAGAACTGTAAGGCAGGCTGAAGTGTTGGTAAAAGCCTGAAGTCCCAGTACTCAGGAGGCTGAGGCGGGATGTCAACCTCAAAGCCATCGCAGGCTGTGGAAAGTGAGACCTTGTCTCAAAAACCAACCCGGAACAACAGCCACAAAAGAGAATTCTATGAGTTCCTTCTACAAGCTTTCCAGCTTTTCTGTCAGCCTGAAATTGTGTGTCTGAATACAAAGTCACACCCCATGTCGTTAAACCTGTGTGGAAAGTGTGAGTTTTGTCTGGCAAACTCTGAAGGCAGGTTAGCATTTAGACAACAAGATGCTCAACAATGTAATATTCATCAGACAAACATATCATCTTCTCCCAAATAAGGTGTGATAGACAAGCACAGCAGTTACTATCATGTCGGTCCGAGGGAAGGGTCCACACTGCTTTGTTCTCGCTTTGAAACTTATCCTTAAGCTGGCAGTGATGGCGCACGCCTTTATTTCCAGCACTCAGGAGGCAGAGGCAGGCAGATCTCTAAGTTCGAGGCCAGCCTGGTCTACGGAGCAAGTTCCAGGACAGCTGGGGGCTACACAGAGGAACCCTGCTTGAAACAAGCAAAACAACAACAAAACCTTATCCTTAAAATGACAACTTTTGGTTTGGTGTCACCAAATACGCTATGGAGAATCTTCCCAGAATTCTTTTTAATTCATATCGTGACTTTCTATGTGAGATACTAATGGAATAAAGAGACTGGTGACCAGGAAAGAATTAAGGAATTAACCCATCACATTCTGTAGTCACGCTTCACAGGACTGACTGTGTCTTGTGTTAGGGGAGCCAGATGCACCCCTGAGGCCCCTCCGCGTGCAGCCTCAGTGGCCTTCCAGAGCCCAGCCCTTCCCTGTGCTGACTGCCCACAGCTGCCCCTGCAGCCTGGGAGCCTTCATGCTCCGCCCCTTTATCCTTCCTCATGCAGCCCCATCATGCCTCCCTGTTGATGGATGCTGCTGCCACCCGCACCTCCCCTCAAAGAGTGCTTCGTTGCTGTGAGGCCCACATTTCTAGTTCACTTGCTTCATCTCCTGCCTCTGCTGTGAGCTTCAGAACTCCGAGGCCCTGTGTGTCCAACCCCGGGAAGGCAGGAAGCATGCGATAAATAAAAGAGGAAATGAGGCAATGACCAACAAGCCCCTCTGCCCTAAGAGCAATGCCAATGCCAGAACGCCACCCTTTAGGGACCTGTGTAGGGAAGGCATGCCCGGAGAGGGCTGGGAATAAGTCATGAAAATGATCAGATGTGTTCACTGGACATACCTATGGGATGTGGGCACTGGGAGGGGGCTGAGACCAGTGACAAATATGATATTGTCCCTGCCTGCCTTCAAAAAGCTCACAGGGCAGCTAGGAAGACCATTCTGCAAACCGATGACTTAGAGAAGCCAGAAGAGGAGGATACTTCTCCATCCATCTCCCTTCAGCTTGGGGAGCCCTCAGAGAGAAGAGGATGAAGACTGGGGCTTTTCTAAGACTAAAATCAATAGGCGTGTGTGGGGGTGAGGGCATGTGCAGCCTAGAGGTTGGGTGCCCTCTTCAGCTGCTCTCCAAACTGTTTTTTGAGGCAGAGTCTCTCACTGATTAGGCCAGGAAGGCTGGCCAGCAAGACCCAGGAATCTTCTTGTCTTTGCTTCACCAGAGCTGAGATTTCAGGTGAGGGCTACATGCCTAACGCCATTTGCGTGGATCCTGAGGCTTGAACTTGGGCCCTCATACTTGAAGAGCATTTTATCAGCTGAGCCCAGCCCCAGAATGTGAGTGTTTT